GTGCCCCTGCAGCTGGCATATACTGTTTTTTGTTTGTGTGTTTGCTTTTTGTGTTTTTCTGAGAAGATTTTGGTATAGGGCACGTGTGCTAGCCAGAGAGACAGAGAGAGACAGCGAGACAGAAAGCAAGAAATTACCCACCAGGAGGAATGGCCACGCTGTAATCCCTTCTCTTCCGTTCTCCTCTAGGGATCTTGGGCACGCATGCACGCACATGTGCCCAGCGTGAGTTTAAGCCACCAGGTCCGGGACTCGAACCGTGATCGACTGCATTGGAGTCCAGCGACATAGCCATTATGCCAACTGCTGGTCCCTGTTTTTCTTTTTTTTTTTTTTATTTTTTATTTTTTATTAAGGAAGTGGAAGAAACAAGGTAGGATTTCTGTCCTACTGAAGTGGTTCATGTATGAAAGACACTTGAAAACTACCATATGATAAGAGTAATATACCTACAAATAGTCAAAACAAGGTCTTTAAGACCTCTTGTATTTTAATATCATGGACTTTTCAGGTGGTTAGTTAATAAATCACAACCAGTAATAAAACAAATGGAAACATTACACATTTAGAGTAGTGATGATAAAATTTTAACTTGACCACTGTAGAAATGGACAACAGAGGTTAAAAATTACTTATTTAAATGTAAGCAATATATTTTTATAGACATATGGCAAGAAAACTAAATGTATGCAAGCAGGTAGCCAACCCTTGCTCATATATCTGTTTTTTTGTTTTTTTTCAGTTTTTTTGCAATGAGGCATGTGCACTCAGCAGAGACCGATAGTGACAGAGAAAGTAGGAAATCACCCCCCAGGGGGGATGGACACACCATAATCCCTTCTCTTCCAGCCTCCTCTCAGGATTTTGAGCATGCACGCACAAATGCCCCACGTGATTTTCAAGCTGCAAGGTCCAGGACTCAAACTATGCAGTTGACCATGTGGGATTCAGAGCCTTAACCTGCACATCACCTGCTGGCCCTTGCTCATAAATCATTTTTTTTTTAAAGAGATGTTTGCTATAGGGCATGTGCGTTTGCCAGAGAGACAGAAAGTGAGAAATCACCTCCCAAGGGGACAGCCATGCACAATCCCTTCTCCATTCTCCTCTTAGGATTTTGGGCACACATGCACACGTTCCCGGTATGATTTCAAGCCACTGGGTCTAGGACTCATGGGAGTCTAGTGACATAACCATCATGCCATCTGCTGGTTCCATGCTCTTATATCATAATAGGGTGTTTCTATATACCAGAAACCTGTAGTTTATCTTTGGTAAAACCTTGGTATAACTTAAAAAATAAATAAAGGTGAAAGAGGTGCACCAACTTAGTCTTAGTCTAGGACTAGAGTAAGTGCCGCTAAATAAACAAATAAATCAGTGTTCCTCAAACCAGCAGAGATCAAAATCACTTGGATAGCTTGTTACAATACAGATTGATAGGCTCTATCCTAAAAATTTCTGATTTCAGTATGTTATGACTTTTGTCTTTACCTTTATTTTAGGAGAATATACTAAAATTGGAAACCCATGAGAATACAGACATGAAAGAATTTTAGAAGATAATAAAACTGTACAAATAAAAGAACTAATTCAATCAGACCCTTGGAAATTTTAGCCATACAACTAGCTATAATCACAAAAGTAATCATCAAGATTGAGAAAGAAGGGAACCAGCGGTTGGCGTAATGGCTGTGTTGCTGGACTCCCACGTAGTCGACCGCGGTTTGCATCCTGGACCCGGAGGCTTAAAACTCACGCTGGGCGTGTGTGTGTGCGTGCCCAAGATCCCGAGAGGAGAATGGAGGAGAAGGGATTGCGGCGTGACCATCCCCCCTGGGGGGTGATTTCTCGCTTTCTGTATCTATGTCTCTCTCTGTCTGTCTGGCGAGCGCACGCGCCCTATTGTGAAAACCTCTCCCAAAAAAATAAATAAATAAAAGATTGAGAAAGAATAAAAACAGCTAAGAAGAGGCAAAGACATACTGTTACTTCAGATTTTTCCACCATGATAAATTGAAGTTGGCAGGGAGAGGTACCTATAATAGCTAAGAAACATAAAAATGGTAAGAAAAACAGAGACATGAAAAAGAAAGAAAAACTAAATGGGATTAGGATAACAGTAAATGGGATTAGGACTTCAAGGAAAAATAGATAAGAAGTAGGCATACTTTAGTAAGCATAAATGACTCTAACAAAGCATAACTGTTATGAGCAACAGCCCCTACTCATCAAGAAAAGGTTCAAATATGGCTGACTCTTCTCAAAACAAAAATAAGTATTTCCTACATTTTAGAAAAAATTTCGGGAGTTGGCAGGTAATGTGGCAGTTAAGGTGCTGGATTCCTGTATGGACGACTGCAGTTTGAGTCCCAGACCTGGTGGCTTGTTCACTTACTTTCCCCCTCTCTCTTCCTCTCTCTGGTCTTTTTTTTTCTTAATGAAGTATTTACTGGGGACCAGCATGTGGCATGGAGGTTAAGGCGCTGGATACTCCCACGTGGCTGACTATGGTTCAAATCCCGGACCTCTCTCTCTCTGGTCTCTCTATGGTCAAATTAAAAAAATAAATGAATGAATATGTAAAATTAAATAAAATAATTATTTTTAAAAAATAGCTTTAAAAAAGAAAGTCCTGGCAATTAGTGGATAATTAACTAGAAATACCAATCATCTTAATATCTGTAATTTTTCTTTTCTTTTTTTCCTTTTAAGAGAGATTTTTGCTATCGAGTATGTACACTTGCCAGAGAGAGAAAAAGTGTGAAGTCATCCCCCTTGGGGGATGACCACACTACAATCCCTTCTCCTCCATTCTCCTCTTGAGATTTTGGGCATGCACGCACATGTGCCCAGTATGAATTTTAAGCCACCAGGTCTGAGACTCAAACCGCAGTAGACTACATGGGAGTCCAGAGATGTAACCATTATGCCATCTGCTGTGACTTTTCTTTTTTTCTTTTTAAATTTTTTATTTATTTAAATTTTTTAATTTATTCATTTATTTATTTTAATTTGACCAGAGAGAGACACACAGAGAGAGAAAGGGAAAGTGAGAAAGCAAGCCACCAGGTCCAGGACTCAAACCGTGGTCAGCCATGTGGGAATATCCAGAGCTTTAACCACCATGGCACCTGCTGGCTTCCTGGCTGTGACTTTTCTAAGTGTTACCCAAAAAGAGAACAGAATCACATGAAATATAATATGATCATGTTAGAAGAATTTCCTAATAATTTTTACTTACCGGCAGGAAGATCATCAACTTTTGCTAGATCATTCTCTTCTATTCCAGGCATCCCTGCATCACCACCTCGTTTGATTTGTTCTGCCCAAGTAACAAAAAGGAAAGATTCTGTAATTTTTCTTACATAAATTAAAAATATTT